TCTGGGCGGAAAGGATTAACAAGGATAAGAGGTCCCTGGCCATTCTCAGGCAGACGCAGAGGAGAATGGCGATTCGGGTCACGAGGGCCTATAGAACCGTGTCGCACGCTGCGGCAACGCTCCTTGCGGGAATGGCCCCAATAGAGTTGATCGCGAAGGCTTATACCAAGGCCTATAGGCGTATCGCTGAGTTAAAGGCACAAGGGGTACCCATTACGGGAAAAGTGAGGAGGAGCATAAACCTCGACGCGAAGAAGGAAATCAGGGGGGAGTGGGAAACCAGGCTTGCGAACCCCAACTGTCCAGGCCAACGTACCATCAGAGCGGTCCTCCCGCGGATGGAGGCCTGGCTCGAGAGGACTTGGGCGAGGGCCTCGTTTAGGACGACACAGGTGCTCACCGGGCATGGATGCTTTGGTGAGTACCTGTGTCGTATTGGCCGCGAACCCACCCCGGCCTGCCACCATTGTGCCGGGGACTTGGACTCAGCACAGCATACGCTGGATGCCTGCCCGGCGTGGGACGACCAGCGTCGGATCTTGAGGGACCGGATTGGCGCGGACTTGTCGCTTCCGGCTATAGTGGAAGCCATCGTGGAGCGGGAGGACGCGTGGGAGGCTTTCTCCAATTATTGTGAGAGCGTTATGCGTGCCAAGGAGGACGACGAGCGCGTGAGGAGAGGAGAAACCGAGCCCCCAGGCACGCAGAACAGGAGAGGAGGAGGACCACGGCGTGGGCGCAGACGGCGCGGAATCGCGGCCCATCTGCGGCCGTGGCAGGGCAGGAGGAACCCAACATAAGGGAATCTCCACCCTCCCTTCGCAACAAAAGAAGAGGAACAAATCGGCAACTAGCTGAGGAACTCTGCCAATCACGAGGAGAAAGCCTTCGCCACACACCAGGAGAAGAGCTGGAGAGAGGACATTTCGCCATGCATCAAGGCGACTGGACGGGACCTTAGGGTCCCCCCAGGGCGTACGGGTCCCGCTGGAAGAATAGGCCCGGGGTATCACCTGCCTGTCGTAAAAGGCGACTGAAAGGTGCAGAGTCCGAGGAGTCGAGGGACGCTTAGGCGGGCATGGGCTGGGAATCCCATGACCCGCCTGCCCCCACACACAACCGAGGGGCGCGGCGGAGGGCCAGGTGGCACCCCCACCGCACAGCGAAGGAGGTGGCCCTTATCAGGGCTAGGGCCAGACCATCGGCCCATAGGTGAGCGCGATGCCACGCGCGGCGCGGGACTGCGCGGGTAGTATGCGATTGTGTTCCCCGGCAGTCCCATTAAGCGCAGAGAAGTCCACCCCCGGTGGTTTTAGTGCGGTAGGCGTCTCCATTGCACTACTGGTCCCATGGGTGTCAACTGCCCAGGGACCAGGGAGACGAGTCCCACACACCCCCCCGTCTCTGTCCCAGCAGGGCGGGGGGACGGTCCATGAGGATTTCCACCGGGTCAAAAAAAAAAAAAAAA